GTTTATGGAAGTTGAACGGAGAGTCCTTTTACTCCAGCCATAAAAAGGAGGCAGCTGCAGGTCTAATATTCAGCAACAATACTCAAAAGTTAAAGAACAAACGAGTCATAGGCGTGATATTCATAAAAGTGAAACTAAATACTCGCCAGATTTATAAAAAACTCTTCTAAGACTTATGAAAAAAAATTCATGAGGCACTCTTAAACATTTATCTTAGAATAAACATTTATAAAACTTGACTAAAATACTTGTGTGATCATAAGATCAAATCATAAGACTTCAATTGATTTAATTCTTCGCTTCACATTAATTCATAACACTAGAAATCGAATATTTATATTCGATATAATGGAAATCAACTAATCCACTTCGGAATTCCCATTAGATACTAGGGTAGGCTATAAAGCTATAATCATAAAACGCGAATGCACATCTCAAATAAAGCTCAATTGACATGTTCACAATATTCAGATGACACTCATACCATTCACGTCAAACACTCATAGCACTCACTCAACCAGCCAACTGTAGTTGGCATCCATTACGAAATGTTATGCATAGCCATTCGTCTCGGTTACTCATTTCTCCTTTCTCTCAGTTTTTGATGAGCAATTCGCGGTGTTCTGCTCTGAACTAAATATGCAACCTTCTTCGGGTTGTAAAACTATCCATAAAAAAAAAGCGAAAACGAAAGAAAGCAAGGCAAAAAAGGACAGCAGCCAGGGCAATCGCTGAACCGCAAATCGTGAGTTTTATGACTGATTCTGGCGGTGGCATCTGCTTTGCTCTAAGCACTTGCAATCACATTGCCTTTTTACAGTATTTTCTGCAGTTTTTCAGTGCTCGCTATATGCTCGCTTAAGGCTGACAGAAGAGAGTATATTGGGTACGAAGCATTTGCCTGCTACTGCAGCTAGAGACTTTGAATATTTTGAATATATTTAGAGTCGCATGTGGCTCTGTGGCTAAGGGAGAATGGCTTTAGAAAGTGTTTAGCAGAGCTTCTGAACTTATGCTAGAAGCTTGATATTTTAGTTGTATATATAATAATATAAAGCTACATCAATGGGGGTGTGGCAGCTAGAGCTATGAAGCTCTATAGATATAGAATACGGACGGGACCTTGGCATATCTGGCAAATACTTCAACTTTTATAGGCTTCAAATTTGTCAAGCAATTAGCTAATTAAATCTTTCTATCGATATATATCGATCGATTTTATTGAGGTACTCTAAAGATATAGAACACAGACAGGAACCTTGGCATATCTGGCAAATACTTCAACTCTTACAGACTTCAATGTTGTCAAGCAATTAGCTAATTAAATCTCTCTATCGATATATATCGATCGATTTTGTTGATCCACTCTAATCATAACATTTTATATAAAGAAGCTCTGTCTGGAGCGTAGCAATTCAGGCAATAGTTATTGCCGCTGTTGCCACGCCCTCAGGGAAGTCTTTATATGACATGAACTGATCTGCCACTGCTGAAGGGCTGAGCCCAATCAGCTTTGAGGTTGAGCTGCTCTACAGCTAGATCCCAACACTGTATAAGGGCTGGCCACAAAATTTAATATTCTTATTTGAAATCGACTTTTACATTGCGAACGAGCATTCTGCAGTCGTCTAGCTGCGCTGTTCTAACTGGTTTTTGTTGCAGCATTAAAAACAGTATAAACATGCGCCATGTTGTCTCATCAAACTTCCCCTGGACCCTCGACCACCTTGCTGCGCGTTGTGCTGTTGTCGTTGTGTTGTTGCTGTTGTTTTTGTCACATGTCAGCGAATGCTCGAAGTTCAAACCGTGCTTATTGCTTGGTTCATTTTGTGCTCAGCGCGTCACTTGCACATTTAATTAAGTTTACGGCACGCTGCACACGTAAAGGACGAAGGACCAGGGACGAAGGATATCTGGCTGTTGGGTAGAGGGCAAAAGGGACGCTATTAATTAAATTGCTTTATACAGTTAAGTCGCCAAGCCAAAAACTTTTTTGTATCTGTATCTGTATCTCTCGCTCTCTGTGTGTGTGCGTCAACAATCGGAATATTAACGAACCAACTAATGAGACTTTACAAAAGGCGCGAAACATTTGCCGTCTTCTGTCTCTGTCCTTGTCTCTGTTTCCCTCTATCTCTCTCTCTCTCTCTCCTTCCCTCAGGCTTACACTTTATCTGCAACAGAAACTAACCGAAAGGCTTATTAAATGTTTGCCGTGTAGCGTATCCACCTGCCAACCATTAGATCAAAGGCCTGCCTTTTCCTGAAATCCTGTCGGACTGCCACAAATCATGCATTGCCTGACAGACAAAGAGTACCTCCAATTATTGGCCAACTCCTGCTCTACTACTCTCCTACTCTTACTACTAAATCCGCTCAGTCTGCCTGGCTGGCTGGAAGTGGACTTAGCAGCACACATACTTAGCTTTCGTAACATGGGTCGCTTTAATAAATAGCGACAACAACCAGCACGAGTCGGTGGCTTAACTGCCGGCGACCTTTGAAGTGTATTTGCCTAATAAAATGCTCGTGTCTTGAGCTCTGCTTTGAAACTCTTTCAAGGATTGCAAATGAAATATGTATTAAAGTTCGGGCAGGTCGGGTCGGATATGGTAGACTATGCATAGCTAATGAGGAAGCCATCGATATAGTATTTGTTAGTAATTTAATGCGCGTTTCATTTGTATTCGCTCTGAGTTGGGTATATGGCTTGACTCGTTATGAATTCACTTTTATGCACTACTCGTTGTTTGCTTCTAGCTGGCATCTCTACTCACTAGCTGTAACTGTATCTTGCACTCACTACTCGTTAGTTCATTGTGTTCTCCTTGTCTTTTCATTTCACTATTAGTCGCTGGATTTTGTCATGGATTTTGTCATGTCATTGGATCATGGCTGCACTTCCTACTCTTAGTCTCATAATGTACCTTGCGTTCACTACTCGTTAGTTTCAGCTGTACTCGTTACTCGTTGGCTATTCATTTCCCCTTTACTCACTACTCGTTAGTTTCAGCTCTCAGCTGTACTCTTTAGTCATTGGCTTATCATTAAGCTGACTTGCACTGTCTACTCGTTTGTTATTATCATCATAGATTCTTACTACTCGTTGCTTAATTATAGAATTTGGCACATGGCACTCGTTGCATTTTTTGGCACTTCTTTATTTTAAACTCGTTTGAACTGTACTCGCTGTTTATTGGATATACACACACGTGACGCTCGTTACTTGTCTGAGCTCTACAAGCTAGTCCTTCTCTATATATTCTTCTAGCCAACATTTAACTCCTTTCCTTTTATAAGCTTTGCTCGCTACTCGCTGCTTTCCCATATCTCATTCACTCGTTGGACTTCAGCTCGTTTAGCTCTGCCATCTTTTTCTATCCCCTTTAGCAGCTCATCTACATTAATTTCCGACTTCTCTCCTATCGAGTTGCTCTAGTTCTATATGACTTAGCAGTTATTAGCTCTCTTAAGCAACCCTCGATACGTCTATACGTCATTCAATAAGAGTCAAGAAAAACACATGTTGCGGACGTGGCAGGCACTCATTAAATATTTAAACCGCTTGCTGTACGTAAAGCCAAATCGACTTATATTAAATACACTGAAAACAACAAAGAACAGTTAAGCAGTGAGTAGAAGGAAGAGCCAACGGGCATACAATGTGCAAATCCCGAGTGCAGCAGCAGCAGCAGCAGATGAAATCCGTTCAAGCTGGATTCCAATTCCAATGACAAAGTTGCGAGTTGGCAGTTGTTGCCTCATGCCAATCGGTTTGTAGCATTTACATTTAAGCTGATAAGCAAAGTGCTTCCGCCTCCGAGGCAGGTGTCACTCACCTGAGTCAGCTGTTGTGCGCGGCGCAGAATGTCGCAAGTTTATGAAAGCGCGAAGCGTTGAAATTTACATTTGAGGCACGCACTTTACATTATTAATGCCAGACACTAAAGGTGTCGAACAACAACAAAAATTAGTTGCCAACGTTTCTGCCAGAGCCATATAAGTTATGCCTGAATATGTGTGGGTGGCTGGCAGTGTGTGTGCCTGTGTGTGTGTAGGTAAATGCTTCAGCCATTTGGCAAATGTATCGCATTTCGTTTTGTGTGTTTGCACATCGCTGAGAACTTTCCAATTTTTGCTGCTAATATTTATTAATCAAGTAATAGCAGCACACACGCACACACTCACACATACGCAGAGTGTGTGTGTACGCTTATGAATATATGAGTGGGGCACTTGTGCGTGTATTGTTTTTTGTTCGTGTTATTTGATTTTTTGCACAAAAATTGATTGGAAATTTATAAGCTAAACTTTTTCACAGCATTCTCTTTTTGACTTCGGAAAAACAAATATGCACGTTTGCAGTGGAGTCTAATCGATTGTATAATACTCGCTGCGCGGGTATATAGGATTATATGCTTCAATTTTCAAATCTCGCCCATTTTGCCATAGGATTTAGGCTGAAGCCTATAAAGTAATTTGTGCTTTGCCACGACCTCATTGTGCTTATGCGAAACTCTTTAAGAGGATGGTATCTCTGAGTATATTTTATACATAGGCAATGCAAGCCAATATACTCTCTTTTTGCTACCCGAACAAGCATAACGAACTTTTTCTCTGTGGCTGAAATTTTTCTTGTTTTTTTTTTTTCGTATCACCCGCCATTCGCAGCACTTGAAAAGGTCGCCGCATGTGTGCAGAGTGTGAGTATTAGTGAGTGCGTCTGTGTGTGTGTGCGTATGTGTGTGTGTGTGTGTGTGTGTGTGTGTATGTGCTTCTGTGTGTAGTGTTTGGCTATTGAGTTTTCCTATATAGCCTGGCCATATGCTGAATTACAAGTGGAAACTTTAACGTGCTTTCAAAAACAAAAACTTCAACTGGATTTACATAAAAAACTCATTTGATATGTACTATAGAGTATATATAAATATATATATATATATATATATGTATGTCTATTGATATTCATTTATATATTTATGTATAGAGTTGGCTTTGTCACAGCAAAGACCGTCTGTCAAAAAGATTCTGAAATGGCAAAAAACTAACACAAATCATTCAACGTTCAAACCTAGTAACGTGCACATCACAAAAAGTAAGTATTCTAAATAACGATATATTACCAGATAAATAAATATTATAAATAATAAACATTAAGTATAGAAAATATATTTAATATAGAAATATGAAAAATAAAAAGATTTTAATATAAACATTTAAACAGTTTCATAAATATAAAAAAAAATTGATTTAAAAAATTTATAAAATTAAATTTTTTATATAAAAAAAATTAAATATAAAAAATTACGATAAATATATAAAAAGTTTTAAAATTCAAAAAAAGTTGAAGCTAGATAAATGTATAAAATAAAATTATTTTATAATAAATTATAAAAGTATTTAAATTACTTTCAAATACAATTTTTGAAAATTAATTTTAATAAATTAAATATATATTGAAAAATATTTATTTTGTAAATATGCCAAGTCGTAAGCGTCTGCTCTAAAAGCTGCTTGTTTCTCACTGTATTCTCAGCTCTTTTACTTGAATTTTCTCATGCAAAGATTTTTCAACTGCCAAAAATAAAAAATCCCCTCAAGACGAACTATGAAGAAGCTTTTGGCTAGCTTTTTGATTTTCATCTGCTGTAAGTATATATGAAAAAGTCCATGTGGAATGCTGCAATATTTATTGGGCTGCTGCGTACTCAGATGGCTGCCTGTTGCTGTCACAGCCTGGCCAGGCGCTGCGCATCAAGCGCGCCGATAGCTTGGCCAACACCACAAACAACACGGAATCGGTGCTGCCCGTTGTGGCCATGGCTTTGGGCACTGCGGACTTGTCTGATAAGCAACAAGTGAAAAATGGGAGCGAAGCAAATGCCGCGGCAGCAGCAGCAATTGCCGACAATGATAAGGACAAAGAGCTGGAGCAATCGAATGATTTGTCTGCTCATTTGCGTCGCAGCAAGCGTCGCATGTCTGGATTAGAAGAATCTTTAATGTCCAAGGCCTTGCATCATGGACGACGTCACAATGCAGCGGGAACGACTGTAGCAGCAGAGGCAGCCGCGGCAGCCGTACCTGTCGTTGCACCAGCAACAGCCGCAGCACCAGCGCCAGCACCATATGTCTACTATAATAAGCTGATATCGCCGGATGGCAAACAGGAGCTGAAAGAATTTCAGCTGCTGTCACCGAATATGGTCTTTGAGAGCGTGCAGCGCGATGTGAATTATGGACCAGCTGCTGATGTGGGCGGCGTTCTGCTCTTGAATGCCGACAATACCCTGAGCGGGCATATTCGTGCCTTGGCAGCGAAGCCATCGAAGCATCATCACAAACACAAATCGTCGCTTACCCTGCCGCCCTTTCTGTTCCTGCTGCAGCAGATGCTGCAGCCAAGCCTGAATCTCGAATTGGAGCCGACACAGCCGCTGCCACAGCCACGCGCTCACTTGGAAGCGCCAATGTATCAGTTCCTCGACAGCGCCGTAGACAATGCTCTACGCAACAATCACGAGGTATTTGAGCATCTCATTAATGAACATGACCACGCTAATGAGCTCAGCGGCAAGGCGAAGGAGAAAGGTAAAGATAAGGATAAGGACAAGGACACGGAGAAGCTGAAGGATGCAATTGATTTGCTGCCCATGCAAAAGGCAGCAGAGAAAACCAAAGCCACAATCGAATCGGGCACAAATCACAAGGAAGACGAGCTGCTTGTTAGCTGTCCCATACATCACGAGCATCATGCCAACATCAATGGCGATATGATCGACGATGATGTGGTGCTCGTCAAGGAGTGTCACATTATCTAAGCAGAAGCTGCAGCAGCAGCAGAAACGGAAACGACAATCAACAGCAAGATTTAGGGCCAAGTCGAAACATCTTTAACTTAGTTAGTTGTACTTTTTGGCTTATTCGAAGAGTAAACTCCAAATTTTAGTTAGGTTTCATTTTAGTTCTCATTTGCTTGTACCACGCCCCCTGACCTCTCCATGTTCTCAAATTGTTTATAGTTTGTTTATTTTTGGTTTAACAAGTTCCACACTTAATGAAAAATGAAATTGAATTGGCTTGAGAAATTTTGTAAAAAGGAAGTAATTCGAAACTATATAAAAAAATAAAAATGGGGAAATGTTTGCAAAGCCTTTTTAAGCTCACATGTTTCATCGAGTTTTTGAATTTTTTTGGTTATAAATCCATCTGACGGAAACATACATAAAGGCATACAAATGTAATATATATTTGTATTTGAATTCCGTTTTAATATACTGCATAACAAGCATAGTTGTCGTATTTCAGAGGCCTTGGAATGTAACGTTCCTTTATCTGGGAATTTCATAAGCATTCTGTTAGGATTTTATTGAAAAATATTAAACTTTCTCAATAATTAACTTTTATATCGGCAAACTTCACAATGATTGCGAAATAGGAAGCTAAAATTTGAATAAGATGTGCATAGATTTTTAATTGTGAAAAAAATTTCACAATTTCTACTATAAGTTATGCTTGTCTAAGGCTTAAGCTGAAGTCAAGGCATGCACTTCTAAACCTCTTCACCGACATCGGTGATTCATAGGAAATTTTAGTTAGTCACGCAAAATACGTTTATTAATTTTGCTTGTTTAATTTTTTCTAATAAGTTCTCACTCAAACTAGTTGTCTTCTCCGCTGAAGCCTGTTTCATTTGGCTCATTATTTGTGTTGTCTGCCTGTCGACAGTTTATTTTGCTATTGTCGTACTTATTTTAACTTCTGAATAAGAAGGGCTCATGTGCCAGGATAGCTATACATCTATCTATCTATCTACATCTATCTATCTACATCTATCTATCTACTACTATCTATCTACTATCTACTATCTATCTACTATCTATCTATCTACTATCTATCTATCTACTATCTATCTATCTACTATCTATCTATCTACTATCTATCTATCTACTATCTATCTATCTATCTATCTACTATCTATCTATCTACTATCTATCTATCTACTATCTATCTATCTACTATCTATCTATCTACTATCTATCTATCTATCTATCTATCTATCTATCTATCTATCTACTATCTATCTATCTACTATCTATCTATCTACTATCTATCTATCTACTATCTATCTATCTACTATCTATCTATCTACTATCTATCTATCTACTATCTATCTATCTACTATCTATCTATCTACTATCTATCTATCTACTATCTACTATCTATCTATCTACTATCTACTATCTATCTATCTACTATCTATCTATCTACTATCTATCTATCTACTATCTATCTATCTATCTATCTACTATCTATCTATCTACTATCTATCTATCTACTATCTATCTATCTACTATCTATCTACTCCTTTCTATCTACTCCTATCTATATATCTATATTAATCAATCTATTTATATTTATTCCAAATTATTCCTAGCTATTCCTAGCTATTCCTAGCTTTTCCTAGCTATTCCTAGCTACTCCTATCTTCTCCTATCTTTTCCTATCTTCTCCTACCTTCTCCTATCTTCTCCTATCTTCTCCTATCTTCTCCTATCTTCTATCTTTTTCTATCTTTTTCTATCTTCTCCTATCTTCTCCTATCTACTATTTATCGACTTATATTTATCTACTCATATCTATCTACTCATATCTATCTACTCATATCTATCTACTCATATTTATCTACTCATATATTCTCCTCATGGCTGCTGCTTAATCATTCAGAACTAGCTTCGAAGCATTTGCTATGCATTTGCTAGTGTCAATACTGAAGATTACTTTCACGGCTTGTGTTTAAGATGTTAGGTTGATCTGCTGGCTCTCAAAATTTAATCAATAATTTAATAGTCGAATTCAATTTGAGCAAACAAATCAGTTAGTAGCTGGAAATCCTCAATGAATCCGAAATCGTAGTTCAGCTAAAATTGCCTACGTACAAAATGTGAAATGAAAATCAATTTGCTTGGGTGCAGCTGTCGTAAATTGATATGCTGCGTGTAGCACTAAGCTACAAGCAAATATATTACACACACACACACACACAGTTACAGGTTACTTGCGCCTGAGGCAAAAGTTTTGCCTGCTGTTGCCTGCTAAAATGCTAAAAGCTGCTAATTTCTTATACAATAAAACTAATGTAAATTGCCACTTGACGTTTCGATGTGTATGCGAGTGTGCGTGTGTGTGTGTGTGTACAATACATGTACATTAAATGGAGCACATAATGTGCTGAAAGTCGAAAGAGCATTGAAAGACAAACCCCAGCCAAACTGAATGCCAAAGCGAATGTCATGGATGCTTTAGCAACAGCATAAATACAAATTTGCTTTACAAATGCACAGCAGCAAGAGTGTGGGTGTGTGTGTGCGTATGTGTGCGCTTCAGTTGATGTGTGAATGTTGCCTTAAGTGTACATTCAATGTACATAAGTGCATACAAATACGCTAGGGTAAGCCATTATACATAAGCTTATATAACAAACACGTATGTGCGTGTGTGAGTGTGTGTGTGCGTGTGTGTGTGTGAAAAGCAGAAAAGTGCAACGCAGCATTCGTAAATTGCGTAGCTGCTCTGCCATTGTCCCTGGGGTGTTAACTGGACTGTAAATGTGAATGTATGTGCCAGAGTGTCACGCCGCCGCCACGCCAAGCCACGCCACGCCCCACTAAGCCAAGTCAACGCTTGGCCATATATTGGATTGGATTGGATATACGTATGTATGCATGCTCGTATATCCCTATATTTATATACAAATTGTAAATAATAAATGCAGTTGACAATGCATCACATTTGACTTTTGGCAGCAGCGAATGGCAACCCCAACAGTTCCTGCTGGGGTCGCGAACTGTTCAATGCTGTAGAAAGGGGTGCAGTTGGGAATGGGCACGGGCATGGGGGTGGGGGTTAAAGTATAACAAGTGCATTAGCTAGTGAAATGCATGGCTTATGATTTCAATGACAGCCATCATCAGCATTAGCAGATAATAGAGCACTCGGCAAACTCTTCAAATGCCCCATCCAAAGAAATATTAAATAGAAAATGGCAAGAAGAAGAAGAAAAAACTACTATACACCATATAATTTGATTAAATTTGCTTTTGAGTATGAACAGCAACTGAAATTCAGACAAAAATGTAACGAAGGCAACTGCTTTTTTTTCTTTGCCCTTCCGTTGGCTGCTCTCAACAAATTTATGGGAAGTGGAAGGAAGTGGGAGGAGGGCGCGGGGGCAGGGCAAAGGGAGCCATAAGCAGGCCATCAGACAAAGCGTTGCTAGGGCTTCTATTGCCATTCGCTTAAGTTGTTGCTGGCTCTGTAACTGTTATGGCTGTCATTTGGCAGCTTGTAATTATGTTTTTGCCACAAGTTGTTGCCACTCCCACTCTCTTTGAAAAACTTGTTATCTAGATTTCATAGTCAAAAACCATGACGGCAACAGCATCAAATTCAATTGAACTGTTGAGTCAGCAGCAGCAGCAGGCAGTCAACTATAGAGGAGCATTCAAAGAAGTCACTGAGCAGCAGCCACGTTTGTCCTACTTTAAGCCCATTAAAGCTAATTTGCTAAGCAAAGTTTTCCATGGAAGACGCCGAACATCAAGTATCAGCAAAATGGTTTAATAAGCAGCCAAGAAATTTGTTTACTTTACAAGTATTACCAGATTCTTCAAATATCATTAGGCAACTTTTAAAGTGCAAATTTAGATAATATTATGGACTGTCGTATAGATAAAGACTTAAGCTTATAAATGTGTCTGTTGTGATTACAAGATTTGTTGTTGTTTCGATGAAGATTTGAAGCATTGCTGTTGCTTAAGCTGCTGCCTGACAGATGGCGCCAAGATGAAAGAAAATGTGAGAACAATATATAGTTAAGAAATACGGAAAAGAATGAGAAATTCTAGCAGCTGCAGGTCAACAGCTGAGGCTAATATATATATTACATAAGTTTAAATATATATTTATATAACTATATATATATATATATTGTGACTTACGTTTCTATATACTGTAAGCCTAATAAGTCAGTTCTTTGGCAGTTGCTTAGTTGCTTAAAGACAGAATAAACAAAAATAAATATATTATTTAATGTGATAAACTAAAAAAATAATTCATATTTCTAGCTGCTGCAGTAGTTAGCCACAAAAATTACTAGAGCTGCTTCTTTAATATATATCAAACATCAGTTAATTTATATCAAGCCATAGGTATATATATATGTAAATTTAAAAAGCTGCACATTCATTCACTCTTAACTACAGCAATCTACGTTTCCTATATGAAACAGACACTTCTTAGCTGTCGCAAATTAAAATGCCTTAAGCTACTAGCCAACAGAGGGCGCTAAGCGCCTGAAAAACAAAACAAAATTACTTTTTGTCAAAACAAATTTAGTAAAATAACAACAAAGTCTAGCCACTGTGCGGCAGATAAGCTTAAACTGTGATTTTTTGATATGTGATATGCAAAGGTTTATAATTTAAATATATATATATATATATATATATATATATATATATTATATAGTACATGAGATATAGCTGACAATATATACGTGGCACTTACCTGCAACAAATGATTTTTTTTTTCATTTGTGTATCATTTTTAACATAAATAAAAGAATGTTCCTCTGTTATTTTATATTCAAGTAAGTTTACTATACTAGCTTTATATGCTATACAGTAGGGAGCAAAAGTGTTTCCATAGTTGACACTTTCAACTTTGTGAGTCGATAATTTCTAAACGAATGAAGCAAATCAAAAAAACTTTTTTTTCCAATAATATGTATTTAATCCTTAACAAATTGCCGTATATAACAAAAACAAAAGTTAATCAGTAAAATATTCAAACGAGGAAAACTGAAACAAAACGCATGTGTACAATTTTGCACCTTCCGATATTCTTACTTTGGTTTGATTTCTTAATTCTCTTATCGGCAATACACATGCAGTTTTACCTTTATATGTTTTATTTATGCATTCTACACTTTTATGATCCAGAAATCCACGTGTTTCTTATTATTTGAAGTAGATTTGTTAATTTTAGCAATTAGTCTACAAAGTACCGCGAA